GGGAGGAGATGCAAAATATACAATCTCTGCCCTCTTCTGCACATACACATAAAAAGTCTTCGAAACTCTGTCCGTTGCTCAAGCTTTAAAAAAAGGCCAGAATAAATAAACTGTGCAGATGGAGAAGAGGAAAGTGAACTGCCAGCCCCGATCCCAAAGGAGCCAGGGGAAAGGACAGACTTGCCCAAGTCCTCTGCTTTTTCAGTACTGCGAAAAAAAAAAAAAAAAAGTGCCTTCACTTAGCGCTTCGCTCTCTGGCGGCCCCGGGGGTGGCTCACGCCGGAGGAAGGCACGGTGTCGCGCGTGGGAACCGCGCGGGGGGAGGCTCCCCTTGGGCCAGAGGCGAAGCCGGGAGGGAGGCGCGGAAGGCAGCGGAGCGGGGCCGCGGCTGCGCTGTGCCCCCTCGGAGTGCCCGAGGCACGACCGCCCGGTGCCAGGCAAGCAGCTCCGCAAAGCCCTGCTCAAACTTGGGCGTAAAGAGAGCAGTCGGGCGGCTGCTTTGGCTGGACAGCAGTTTGAGGAGGGATTTCGGGTCCCCAAGTTTTCGGACGCGAGAGGTTAGAGAAGCAGGTCCCTCCAAGAAATGCCATTTCAATGATTTTAATAAGCAAAATAGGAAACAATTTTAATAACCAAAAACAGAAACCAGTCTGAATAAAACTACAATAGACCAGGTTTTTTAATATTTTTCATATCGTAAGCAGGATTTGAAATTGATCCCTTCAGAACTTTACATGAAATAAAAACAATTTTTTCCGCTGCTGCAATGTTTTGATTTCAACACAGTTGAATCAGTAAAAACCAAAGATCGTTTTCTGATGCATGACTAATATCCACAATATTTAAAACTGCAAGCACCATGCTGTTTATTACAATCTTGTTATTACTGTTAATTTATAAACTAATACAAACTTAAAATGCATCCGGCCAGCAGTGCCAGCTATCCTAAAAGGAAACTAAAAAATAAGTTTTCATTTTGGTATTTTTGTCAGTGCAACGTAAAATCCTTTTACTGACCTGCAGGAGGAAAAAAAAAGTGATAAAAACACCCATAAGACTCCAAAGTACTACTACTATACAACTGCAAATAAATTTTGGCTAAAACTTTCACTCGCTGCATAGGGAAGCAGAGAAGCAGACTACAAATCATTGCAAAAGAATACACTTAAAAGTTGCGGTATGTCTTCTTAAAAAAAAGTTTTAGTTTTATATGCCTTTCCAGCCCACTTATCCACTACTACCATTGATAAACCTAACTTAAATAGCAACACGAATCATTCACTGCGATTGCAACTTGACTCGTAACAAGTTTTTTTTTCTTTTCTTCATTTTACTGAAAATCAAGGGGCAGTTGTTTCTTAAAAGGAACTAATATCTCGTCCGTTCCTCGCTTCCTGAGTGTATAATCAGAAGGGAGACTGCATGGCCAAGTCTAACCACTACAGGCTGAGAATTGTCCTGAAGGAGAAAGAGCTTCACTGCCACTTTAAAACGTAGAGGAGGCTCTAGTGACCGATGAGAGCTTTCCCTGTTAAGTTTAGGTTTGTCAATGCCATTCAGGCGTTTTTTTTTTTCTTCTGCCCCAACAAACAAAAACCAAAATGAAAACTAAAAAAAAAAAAACTTAAAAGTGCACCAGATATACAAAGTTTTTTTTTTCTGAATGCAAAATGCCCATAACTTTAAGTATCTCTTTAATACCAAACAAACCGTACAACCAGCCTGCTGAAATGTTTTGTTTTTGTTTTTTTTTTTCCTGTGCGGTTTGAAGTAGCAGATATTTACAAGCTAACAACCATGAAAGAAAATAGGAGAGCAAAACCAACGAACAAAACTGCACAAGCAGTAAAAAGTTTTGATAACTTGTGATGCTTTTCTTATCGATGAAACAAAACAACAGAAAGCTATGATCGATGATCAACATGCTAAAGTTAAACAAGAAAATGGTACAAAATAGAAATTATTACCATACATGTCCAGCATGCAGGATTAATATTTTTTAATGCAGATTTTCGTATTTTTCTATATAATCAAGCAGGCAATAAAACTGATGTGTTTTTTTTTCTTTCTTTCTTTCCTTCCTTGGATTGAATGTCCCATCTGAGTCCTGTAACTTATTTCTCGAAGCAGGCAATATATGAAGAGTTTGCATATATTGTCCTTTTTATTTATTCTCTTTTTCCAAGCAGGTAAATTGTGCATGAGATGGTGCTGTAATGTCCTCTCTTTCCAAGCAGGCAGTATGTTATAGATGGCTTGTTCATTGTCCTTTTTATTATTATTCTCTTAAAGTCCATCTCGTTCTGAAAGCAAGCGATCTATAAAACGCTTCACTTGTCCTTTTCTCCTTTGCCTCTGCCTCTGTCCCTCTTTCTAACTCGCAAACGAAAGTCGAAAAGTTGCACTTTACCTCTCCCATCCCCACCCCCAGCCTACTTTTCCCACAGCTAATCTAGAAGACTGGATGCTGCAAAAATCAAGTCTATTTTTCTCTCCTTCTTTCTCGCTAGTCAAGCAGACAGATGGATGGAGATGTCGGAGGAGGATAGGAGTGGGGTGGGGGGGAAGGTGCTGGGGATCGGGGTTGGGGTTTTTGTTTTTTTAATTATATTTGTTAAGCACTCACATGAAGAACTCGGGGGAAGACGGGTTGTCACTGGTGGAGCCGGCCTCTCTGAAGCCATTGCTGGCAAGTTTCTCACACTTGAGCTTGTAGGCGTCTCTCTCTCTGGCAAGCCGGGTCACTTCTTGCTTGAGCTGTTCCACCTGCTGAATTAGCTGGGTTTTTTCGTTCTCCAGGTGATGTTTCTGCTGGACACGTTTATACCTGCAGGACTGGGCATAGCCCCTGTTCTTCAAGGTCCTCCTCTTCTGCTTGAGGCGGATCACCTCGTCTTTGGTGAAGCCTCGGAGGTGCCTGTTGAGCTCCCTCACGGACATGGAGACCAGCTGGTCATCCGAGAACCGGTCCTCCACGCTGCTAGAGGGGGGATGCTGCTGGTGCGAGTTCTGGAGCTGCTGGGAGGAGCTGGAGGAGGTGGAGGGGGTGGGAGAGGCCTGGTGGTGATGGTGATGGTGGTGGTGGGGGTGCCCGCTGCCGGCCAGGTCTTCGTGGGTGACTGCGGGGTACTGGTGGTGGTGCTGGTGATGATGATGGTGGTGGTGATGGTGGGCCCGGAAGCTCTCAAAGCCTTGCAGCTGCTGGGACACCTGGTGGGACCCAATGAGGGCTTCGACGGCGTCCTCCGGGGTGAGGTTCAGCGCCTCGGGGTTCATCTGCTGGTAGCTGTTGGCCATCCAGTACAGGTCCTCCAAGTGGGTCTTCTGCTCAGTGGGGCTGAAGCTGGGCGATGAGGGCACGGAGCTGCAGGGGGTGCTGATGGGGGTGGAGGAGACGGAGCCGGCAGGCTGCAGGCGAGTGCAGTGCCTGCCGGAGCGGTCGTTCCTGCCCAGGGGCTCTTTCTTCACGTCGAACTTCATCAGGTCGAAGTCGTTGACATACTCCATGGCCAGGGGACTAGTGGGCAGCTCGGCTCCGATGCTGAGCTCTCCGGCCATTGCGGTCTTGCGGCACCTCTCCCGGCGCAGGGGCTGGAGACCTCACTCCAGCGCGCAGCCTGGAAGAGGGCTGGCCGCGCTCCCTTATTCCAAATAAACTTTGGCTTTGCTTTCTCGCTTCCTTTCCTCTGCTCCCCCTCCACCGCCTCCTCCTCCTCGGCCGCCTCCTTCTCCCGGCTTCTCGGGCTTCTTCAGTCCGGAGCAACAAAGCCAAGGACGAACCGCCACCCGGGGCCGCCTGGATGTCTCCTGTCTTGTATCAGCGTTTGCAACGCACCGCAGGCTGCAGCAGCTCCTAGCACTTAGACACCCCGTTGCAAGGAGAAAGGAGCAGTAGCAGGAGGGAAAAAGCAAAACAAAACAAAGATGCAGCCTTCGGGTCGGTGCCGGAAGAAGAAGAACGGTGCAAAACGTTTAGCCTGTGCCTCTGGCTGGGTTTGTAAGTCCTGAGCCTTCTCCCCGCGGTAGCAGAGCACCGGAGTCTGCCGCAACTTTCCAGTCCGAGCAGGCGGCCGGGGGAGCGCACTGGCTATTTGGCGGTGGTGGCTGGGCTTTGCACGGGAGTTTTCGCTGGCTCTCGCAGCGCAGGGGAAGGGGAGGGAAGAGGGGGAGGAAGGAGGGGAAGGAAGGAGGAAAAAAAAAAAAAGGAGGAGAGGGGGGAAACGAGAAAACCCAGGTCTCCGCTGTAGCTGCCGCCTCCAGCGCTCGTTGTGCAGCTGTGATTCGCAGCGCAGCCCCCCTTGGCTTC